ATTTTCGAATTACCCCGCAAGACAATTTATTGCTGGCCGTGTTGCCCGGCGCTTGGCCGGTAGGGCGAACCGAGCGGCCTAGGCAAAGCGATTGAAGAGTTTGGCGGTTCGATTCACGGTAAATGTCTCCGGGTTCTCCGTTTGCGGTGGTGGTCCTGTTGTTGTGCGGGAGAAAACGATGCCAGGTGGAGTTCACCCCTGGGTATCCATGGGCCCAATTATCCAGTTTGCAGGAAAATCATAAATGAAGGGGATGTATTTTACGCGCTCGCTGGCTTCATCTTTCAGATGCTCCTCAGGGTGAGCCACTTCGTTGAGCTATCATTTGTGGTCGAGTCGCTTCTGAAAAATAAGCTAATTGCTCAATGGGCTTTACCTGTTGAGATAAAAAAAAATACAGTAAAACCTTGGATTGCGAGCATAATTCGTTGATCAAATTAATATTTATTCAAAATTTTTGCTCGTCTTGCAAAACACTCGCAGACCAAGTTGCTCGCAATCCAAGGTTTTACTGTATATAGTTTAGTTTCATTCGTATATTTTTCTCTGTGATTTGTTTACTTTTCCCATACTCTGCACTCCTGTCATTTTTTTGTATCGTTTGTCGTCATAACGTTCTGACCCCGTGCCCCTGCTGGACATCTGTGAAAGAGTAAAGAGCTTCATAGTTCATCAGATTCCTTGAGTACCGTATAAATTAATGTTCTGATTCTGACCACAAATTCCCGACAACTTCGAAAAGCAGTAGCGACCGACGGTGCTTTCTGTTTCCGCTGCCATTCAAACAACAGTTTATCGGTGGTGGCGCACGCCTGTAATCCAGCACTGCGGAGGCCGTGAAGGTTGCTGAATCACTACACAAAGGTTGTCACACTCTGCTTCCCGTGGATACGGAGGTGCCTTATACCGTCACTCGCCAGGAGAAGGCATCACCGCAAAAATGTTGACTCCATCTGTATGGGATAGAGTGTTTCTCCCTCGCACCCGTGGGTTCCCTTCCAGATGCAAACATGTGGGGCGCTGGGGGTGGCGAGATGTTAACTATTCGTCTGGTATTACATGGAGATCATGAGTTTGATTCCGATCCTGATGCCTGCATATTTGGAGTTTCATGTCTGGCTCCCCTTGGTAGCGTGGATTTTTCTCCGGGTGCTCGGGTTTTTCCCTCCACATTTAGAATCAACGTCAGGCGTTTAGAGTATAAATTTCCACGTAATGATAAGCCACTTCGTTGAGCTCAGTGGGCCTCAGCTGGTAAAAATGAAAATGCGTTCCGTTTAAACACTCGTTAATTGGCCGATGACACCTTCATATATAGAGGGTGGCAGAGCTTGGGCAATTGAAGCAATTGGCGGGCCCCCGGGGTCCCATCACTGCCCCGGGGTGGGAAAAACCGCGTAGCGACACGAGTCTTGCCTTACCGACAACAAAACTAGTGGTCAATCGATTGGCCTCGTCGAGTTTCGTAAAAAGTTGAAAAATTACATAAACACGTTAAATTCACTGCCTGGGGGGCGGGGCTCGCCTTGGCAAAGAAGCCGAGGAGTGACGGCTGACCGGAGGGCGTCGTCGCCGCGCGCGACTGCAGGGGACGCCCCCCGGGGCTTGCGTTTGGCCGATGGGGGTGGCGCCCATCGTGTCGATCGCCGCCTGCTGCTGCTGGCGCTTGTTGGCGCGAGTCTGGGTGGGCGGCGCGTTGCTGTCGGGATCACGAGTGGGCGGACTGATAACTAATAATTATTGACCTGAATTTTGCGGGATCCCGGGGTCCCGCCAAATGATTCAATTGTTGGCACGGCTCATCGCGTGGCTGCTGCCTTCCTACATGCCTCTGGTTCCTCCTCGCGCCTCCCGAGTCGTTCTGTGGCTCTCCACAAGATACACGAGCGCTTTACAAGTTGATGTAATAATAATAATCATCATGATTATTATCATCACTTGTGATTTGCATCGTCCGTGTTTTAGTTTACCCCAGATCAGTGAGAGCTGGTCAACCTCATCCATGACAGAAGCATCACTCTCAAATACACCCGTATTGTTGCTGCGGTAAAAACACAATAGGTGAGAACCCTGTCATAGTAACGAGGAATTTCCGCCACTGGCTCAGGACAGCTGCGATGATCGCCACCCAAACGTTCGCTTTAGCGGCGTGAAGCTCTGTCTGACATTGACTTTGTTCAAGGAAGTAACGCAACTGCCGATCTGCCAGCATCACTCATTATTTTCAGCTTCTCCCGTGTAAAATGAATAATGCATCTCGATGATGTCTCACGTGGTTACAAATAGGAGGGAATGGACTTTAACACACAGACACATGATAATTTTAAATGTCAACCCAATGTCACGGCGTCACGGTGTACCACCGCCATTACTGCGCCGTGACGAAACAACGGCGTTGCCGGTTGGCACATGCGGTGCGGAAGATGTTCAGCATGCTTGCGCACACTGTAAAGCGATGTGAAAGCCAAGGAACGCCACGACTAAGGCTCTGTCACCTCTTGCCACAGTAATCGCAGGTAATTTTAAAACAACATTCACACTCCTTTATTTACAGAGTCAAGCACCAATGAGTCTCGGGACCCCTTCAATCCGGAAGTTGCTACCTAGAAAGTTTGGCCAGTTCCGGCTCAAGTGAGAGTGGGCAGTAATCGTTTCTGTTGTCGGAACTCGGCGAATGATGGAAATTCCACATTCCCGTGGTGCGGTCGAGTCTCCGCTCTGTCGATAGAACGACCACTGATGGCTTCCCCAGGAAGTGGCATTCATTTTTGCGGTCATAACGAGCTGATAATGATGATGATGCTGATGATGATGATATTTGATGATGTGGCGATGATGATAGACTGGTGGTGGAGGTGATAATAATGGTGAAGATGACGGTGGTGGTGATGATGATGATAGGACAGTGGTGGTAGCGATGATAATAATGATGATTATAGTAGGACAGAGCCAGTGATTATAATGATATGGCAATAATGATGATGGGACGGTGGTGGTGGTGTTGATGATGATTGAGCTGAGTTGGTATTTGAGGGGATATGCCAGTCAAGTACTCTACGCATGCTGACGTGCGGGCATATTAACTAAAACTAAACTTTTTTACGAGCTAAGGCCCACTGAGGTATATAGCTCTTTTTCAGAAGAGACCTGGCCACAAATGATGGCTCAGCAGAGTGGCATATCACGTGAAAATTTACAGCCGCCAAATACTCGAAACGTGTGACATTGATTCCAAATGTGGAGGGAAAAACCAGAGGACCCAGATAAAAAAATCCCCGTGACCGCGAAGTAGAGAGGCGGAGAGAGAGAGCCGCAAACTCCAAATATACAGCAGCAGCAGCAGCAGGCGTCAGGATCGGGATCGAACCCACGACCTCCTGTACACCATGCGAGATAGTTAACATCTTGCCACCGCTGCGCCCTGGACCGTGACGCTACGCGATGCGACCGGGGTTCGACAAGGAGAGCGTTTGCACGACGCGAGCGTCGCGCGACATCCCCGGCGCACGCGAGGTCGTTATCGATGAACACAATAACTCAGCGTCAGACGCGCAGGCAAAGCCGTTCGAGATCCTTTCCATTCCAAAGGACATTTAAAAGGGGGAAAAAAAATATCACCGAGCGTTTTAGCCTAATGCAAAGGTCCCGGGCCATATCTCACTGAAACTGCGCCTTCGATAACGCTGTAAAGGACAGCTGATTAACGGGGCCGGGCCGAGCTGACGCTGCGGCTGGTGCAGACCGCACGCACGAACGCGACGCAACGGAGAGCATGAGTTGGTATCCTGCTTGTGGGTCCGCTCAAACCACCATCGTCACCATCGCCACCATCGTCATCCCTCCGTGGTGTGTAAAATGAGTGGTATGGATGTGAAGTTGCATTCATAAGGGCGCTTAAAAGCCTCAGCGACACAAAGCGCCTTTTGCATCGCATCGCGCCTGGACCATTTCATTGCCCTGCTGCAGTCTAGCCAAGGGGACACCCCAGTGGCAGCTGTCCCTGTGCAAAAAGGCGAACACGAAATACCGGTCTGCAAATGGGCATTAGTCTGTCCGTGGTTGTCCAATGTTTTGTTTGTGTTTGGGCTGTTTACTTGAGGGTTTCTTGCCAGCAGTCATTGGTGACCAGGCTGAGACCATGGTACTTGCTGCCACTGAGGACCAAACTCCGCTCATCCTCGCAGCAGCAGCAGCAGCAGAGGCTTTTGGCTGCTGGCCATCGAACAAAAGCGGTGGTCACCGCATCGTGCGGCGCTTTCAGATGCACTTCCGCGGCCGCCTGGAACGCCCTTCCTTCCGATATTAAGAAGCCAACTGGAGCTATGCACTTTTAAATCATCTAAATCGAAAACTAATTTCTTTAGGACTGCTTGTTGTTGTTGCGTTTAGTTTGTAGTCCTTCCCTCGCACCTGCGATTAGCGCGGTTGGATACGTACGGTGCTGAAAGAAGTTCAACATGCGCACGTACAATCGTGCGGCTCAAGCAGCTCAATGTTTAACTGGAGCGGTCGTTGCTCTGGTTGAGCGCGATGCGTTGGTGTCACGTCGGGTGGGGGCGCCACGGGGCGCCCGCTTGTGTTGCGACGCGCGCCCCTGGGCGGATCCACCGCCGTGCAGTGGCTTCAGCAGGGGACGCTGAGCGTCGTGGTTAACGGGTAAGAAGGGGGGGCGGGGTGGTGCGTGGGGTGACCTTGCAGGAACCCCGCGACTTTTAATGTTTCCCAATGAATCGGGAACGTGCGACTGAGGGTGGGGGGTGGGGGCACACGGGGGGTGGGGGGAGCTGGTGAGTGATGCGGGGGATTTGTTTACACGCGGTGAATTTGAGTATCGGTCGGCGCGGGCGTCAATGTTGTCTCTGTGCCATTCCGCGGTGCAGTGATTAGCGGCACTGCACTACGGTGGATGGCGAAGGGTGGCAATGGATGGCGAGGGATGGTAAGGGACGGCGAGGGGTGGCGATGGACGGTGAGCGGCGGCGTGCTGGCTGTGCCTGCAGGCTGCGTCGCTGGAGGCGGTGTCGCAGCGGTACGCGGACTACTTCCACACGTACACGGGTGACGTGTACCAGCGCCTGGAGGAGATCCGCAAGCGCCGCGTCACCCTGGAGCCCGACGACTCGGCCCAGGTACTCCTCACTCGCACACAAACGCAGAGGTGCCCCGTCGTGGCTAGGCGAAGTTGTCTACCTCACCTGGTACACAGGAGGTCGTGGGTTCGATTCCGACTCTTGACGCCCGCTATATATTTAGAGTTTGCGTGTCTCTCTCTCATCATCACGGTGGCTAGAAGATGTTAACTACCTCGCCTGGTATACAGGAGGTCGTGGGTTCGATTCCGACTCTTGACGCCCGCTATATATTTAGAGTTTGCGTGTCTCTCTCTCTCTCATCATCACGGTGGCTAGAATATGTTAACTACCTCGCCTGGTATACAGGCGGTCGTGGGTTCGATTCCGACTCTGACGCCCGCTATATATTTAGAGTTTGCGTGTCTCTCTCTCTCATCATCACGGTGGCTAGAAGATGTTAACTACCTCGCCTGGTATACAGGCAGTCGTGGGTTCGATTCCGACTCTGACGCCCGCTATATTTTTAGAGTTTGCCTGTCTCTCTCTCTCTCTCCCCGTGGTCGCGTGGAGTTTTCTCCGGGTCATCCATTTTTTTCCCTCCACGTTTGGAATCAACAAGACGTGTTCAGGGTATTGGGCTGCTGCTATACATTTCCACACGATAAGCCACTTCGTTGAGCTATCATCTGTGGCAAAATATATATTTATTTTTTATATATGTAGTGTAGCCTACATGGACTGTTAACGCAAGTGCTGTCAGCGAGCACCTATGAAGGCTGACAAAGCACGAGGTCTTGGGTGTGTCCGGAACCACGCCTGGCCGCCTTTGTCTCCCCAGCACCTCACCCACGTACTCATTTGAAAGTCGAGCCGTCCCAGGACCGATGTCGGTTGGCCGTGAGCGGGAATCGAACTCGGGTCGGCGCGTTTGCAGAGCGGCGCGCTAGCCGCCGTGTTCACACACAAACCCACGTGCGCGAAAACAAGGATGCCACCCACCTCGGCTGTCGGACCGCTGGGGTGTAAGAGCTGTCGACGACCAGGGGTCTGCAGAGGCCGGATGGGGTGGTGTGGCCAGAAACCCACCATTTTGCCACCTTTGTCGCCCCAGTGAGTCAGCTTACTCAACGCAGCAGGTGCTTATGTCAGATTGAGATGGCTTAGGGGAGGTCCAGAGCAGGTTCAGTATCCACTCAGCTGCTGATGTCAGCCATGGCCACAGCAATTACCACTGCAATTGTGTGAACCACCCTACCACAGCATGACAAAGATCCCTCCAATAGCCTTAACAGGCTGTTGGGGCAAGTGCTGTTAGCGAGTAGCACCGTTGAATGCCGGCACTGTGGCACACGACGGGGTGGGTGGCCAGCACCACGACTCGCCCGGCCGCCTTTGTCTCACCAGTGCTGATATTTACCCACCGCACCAGCCACTCGTTTGAAGGCTGAGTCGACCGAGGGGAGGCCCAGGACCGAGATAGCTATTCGTCACCAATGTTGGCCCGTGAGCGGGAATCGAACTCAGGTCTCCAGGTTTGTAGCGCAGCGTGTTAACTGCTGCACCACCGCTCTCCACAAATACAGTCAACAATTCAAGGTAGATCTACCCAGCACAACAATATACAGAACACCTTTCCAGATCCTTTTGAATAATAACAATGCAAGTAATAATAACGTCGTTTATTAGTCGGCAACGAGTGATGTCGTATTTGTCCGAGAAAGTCTTTGCGGAGTCTCGAAGATCCCAATGCAGGACACTTCTGTCTCTGAAGGAGTTTTTTTTTTTCCCTTTGCTCGGGGAATCTACAGCAGCCACGCGGAGAAAAGCCACCCTACGTATGACAGGATAGCGCTTCCCCCGAGGGATGCACAGCAGGGGTGCCTGAGCCCGCTGGCTGCGCCGCGTCGTTCTGGCCACGTCGCGTGATGTCACGGCGAGCCGTTGCGTGCGGCACCGACGAGGCGGTACGGGCGAGACGGACCGCAGGCAGGATGGTTGAGGCGATCCAGCACGAACGAGACAGGCAGAGGTTCCGCACGTCGACGACGCCCAAGAGGTCGCCGGCCAAGGGGGAAACCACGAGCCCCGGCGGTGGCTGCTGCGGTGGCTTGCGGTGAGATCCGCACCAGGAGCGGGCGGGACGCGGGGAGAGGCACCTCGCGAACAGGCCGTGTGCGGGCTCTGGCAGAAGGAAAGGAGCGGTGGCTGACGCTCGTCGCCGCCGTTCCCGTGGCGAAAGTCGGCAGGCCGACATTCAACACCCCCCCCCCCCCACCCTCCGAAAAAGGTGCTCGCTCGCTTGCTGCTGAGAGACGCCGTTAAGCCTCGCGATGTTTCTGACGGCAGGCTGGAGGGATTGGTAGGGGAGGGCGTTTGTGGTGGGCAAGCGCCCTACAGCGGCGTTTTAGACGGCGCCGGAGAGAGTGTCCGGCTTGTGGCCGATGAAATGCGTTTTAATCGGCTGGACGCTTTTCGCGCAAGGGCGGAATATCTGCAGGAACATCCCGCAGGCGAAGAGCCCTCCCGCGGAGCGAAACAACAACAACAACGCCGCCGCCGCCGCCGATGCCATCTTCTCCACCCTGACATGGAGCGCCCGTGCAGTGCATTACGCTCAGCCACTTGAGATGCGCGGCGCGCGCCGTCCGCCTCTGTGCCACGCTTAGAGTGTGCGACTCGCGAGAGCCGCACGGAGCTAATCGGAGGTGCGCGGCGGGGACGGACGGTGATCAAAACCGGCCAGGCCTCGACGTAGCCCATCGTGGTCCCTTCGATGCTGACGTGAAACGAGCGCCCCATTGTTAACGAGTCAGACGACGGCTGTGTCCCACGTATGGCTGGCTCCTGCCAACGAGAATGCGGAATTTCAAGCAGCTGTTCAGAGTCGCGAGTGCCGACGGGCGCCGACCCACGTTTGCGTCCGCAATGCACCGTTCCCGTTCCTTGGAGGGGTAAGGTCGAGCGGATAGCGGTCAACCGTCCCTCAGAGGATCGGCCGCGACTCTCGCTGGCCGCGACGCGGGGTGGGACCCAGGGCACTGACGCGTGGTGGCAGTGCCGGCGTGCGTGGAACGTCCTCGGCGAGGGAACCTCATTTCGATGCGTTGCAGACTCTTCTCTCGGAAATGACGTTGAACCTCGATCTCTAATTTCGAGCGCAGAAGAATTAATTTCGACTTTTTTTTTCTTTCCTGTGTGTGTGCGTGCGCGCGTGCGTTGTAATTGAAAGCTGCCGACGGACGGTTTGCTTAGGTTCATTGTGAAATCTAATCGCAAGCGGAAGCACAGATTGGAGAGCGCTGAGCGATTGGCCTGAGACTTAAACTTCTAATCGCTATATCGTCAAGTGAGAAGGAGGGCGATAGGTTCCAGAGTTTAGTAGCAGGGAGTGTGGAGGAGGAGGACGTGATGGGTTCCAGAGTTTAGTAGCAGGAGGGGGGAGGAAGATGAGGGAGGAGAAGGGAGGAGTGTTCCTGGCGACCCGAGATCGATTCCCGCTCACGGCCAACACCAGTGAAGATTATCGGAACCGGTGCTGGGCCTCCCCTGGGTCGACTCAGCCTCCAATAAGTACCTGGGGAGACTAAGGCGGCCGGGCGTGGTGCTGGCCACCCAATCCGTCGTGTGTCACAGTGCCGGCCTTCAGGGGTGCCCGCTAACAGCGCTTGCCCCCAACACTCTGTTCAGGCTCTACGGGGTGATGGGTTACCAGAGTTTTGCAGCAAGGGTGTGGAGGAGGATGCGCCCTTGTTGCCACGTATTTGGCATGGCAAGACGCAGAAACGAGTCTCAGTGATCGGGTCGGTGGGCGGGATGGGACGAGAGGCTCCTTCACCAGAGCACCGATCACGGAAGCACCGGTCGGGGAGGATAGCGGGCGGGGTGGGGGGGCGACGGCATGGCGATGAGAGGCGGGCGAGGGAGGCAGACCACTGGCGGCCGTGTCGTTTGCGAGGCGGGCGACGTTCCATCGGATTCCAGCCGGAGACGTTTCGGCGTTGCCAATTGGTGGCACGGCAAGTGTCGGGGACGGAACCGCACCCTGGGACAGAGCGACGACGTGCAGGGGCTGTTGTTGGACGTCGCTGCTCGTTGCACGGGGATCTCTTCGCTTATGTCGACGTGTCTACAGCAATAGGAGATCTGCAGGTTCTAGCGGTACACACACACACAAGGTTTATAACCAATCTGTTAAGGAGGACCTCTTTTAGATTGTTTTTATTCCTCTAGCCCCGTTACTTTTGTAGGCCCGTTTTTTTATTATCTAATATCACGTTTTAGTCTCATTGTTGTTTATTTGACAGTAATTGCTTCTCACACATCAAAGCTCAATGCATTTTGCTCTGATGCAACCCCTTTGCGCACGTATGAAGCACGGTTTGTGTGCGCCAAAAACTTCCGGATAAATCTCTCTCTTTTTTTTGTGTGCTCATAAATCAGCACATTGCCCTTTGGAAACGGCTTCATAACACGATCTGTTTGAGCAGACAAAGTCGGGTGCAGTTTCAAATTTTGCGAGTCCCATCAGCTGATGCGGAGCTGTCGGAGAAATACTGTCATGTCGCTGGATGTTCGTAACTACGTACGTATGCTCAACTTCTTTCGCACCGTACGTAGCCAACCGCGCTAAACCGGAGGTGCAGTCTTAGGTGGGGTGGTTTCCGCGCGTAACAAATGGCAACAGAACGCCATTGATTTTTCTCGGCCTGACTCTGCTGGAGTGAATGGGAATGTTTAAAAAAAATAATCCAGTGCTGCTGGGTAGATGTTTGAAGCTGTACGGTTCCTCACTTCGTTTTTTTTTCCGGAAGGAGGAGTGAAACGATGGATACGTTCGCAGCATCGCGGTACAACCCAAAGGCTACCGAGTTGATGGACCTACAACGTCGTGTTCTGCAGAGATGGACTTGCGTCTGTTCCTAATGTTATCCACAATGCTCTGAAAAAAATTATAGTAGACTGATAGGCAATGATGCAAGAGGGTTGGTCGCTTCCACACGGGGTGAGCAAATGTTACCAGTGTCCACCCTGAGCAGTGTCCGCCACGGGCAGTGTCCACCATGGCGAGTGTCCACCACGTGCAGTGTCTCCCATGGGCAGTGTCCACCATCCATTCTACCAACACGATACTTAATTATTTTAATATTCCTTTGACATTTCACATCACTTGTAGTGGTTTTTTTCTCTCCCCCACACTGTCAAACACACTATGGTACCTTATTTAACCAACAGAAAAAAACTACTGCATTGACCTTGCTATCGGACGGATTTGTGACCTGGTGATTGGAGGGAAGGCTCACGAGTGGGCCCCCAGCGAGCCCTTCCCCCCCACTTCCCGTTCACTGCTGATCAGCAAGCCCCCCACGTTCACTGATCAGCGAGCCCCCCCCCCCCCCACCGCGTCCGCTGCCGATCCTTGTTCTTCCGACGGTTCACACCTGATTTCACCATCTCGCTCTCCGCAGGGCATGGGACGGGAGGCCGACGCCGACAGCGACCACGCGCAGGCCAAGGTACCGTCACCGTGCGGGCCCAGGCAGCCGGCAGGCCGGGGAAGATACAAAAACCACTCCGTTGCTTGAGGCCGTGCTCATCTTGTTGACGGCCCTGAAGCCAGTGGAGGACATTCCACATTCCCATCGTGGTGGGGCTTGAGGGGGGGCACAGGGGTGGGGGCGAGTCTACCTGTAGGCCAACCACGGTGGCTAGGAGATGTTAACTACCTCGCCTGGTATCCAGTAGGTCGCGGGTTCGTTGCTCAACCTGATGCCCGCTGTACATATATTTGGAGTTAGCGTCTCTCTCTCTCTCGCAGCGGTCGCGTGGATTTTTCTCCGGGTCCTCCGGTTTTTCCCTCCACATTTCGAATCAACGTCACGCGTTTAGAGCATTCGGCTGCTCTACATTTCCACGTGATGATGACGAGCCACTTCGTTGAGCTGTCACTTTGTTGCCAGGTCGTTTCTGAAACAGAGCTACAGAGCTCAGTGGGCCTTACCTGGCAAAATAAAAATTGTTAACATTTGAGTTTGAGTGGTGCTCGTTGTACCAACCCCAGAGGGATGATGGGCCAGGATGTGAACTCACAACCTGAGCAACCTGGTCGGCTCAGAGCATTTGCAGTGGAACTTAACAGCATTTCATTTTAACCTCCACGCCTTTGCCCGGGTCTCCGCACTTTCCCCGTGTCTGAATGGATTAATTGCAGGGTGGTGGTGTACGTGAATGGGTCACTGACTGCCTGTGGTGTGCGCACTGTTGGGGGGCCGGGGGGGGTGCGGACGCTGTTTAATTGTTTGTTGCCCATGTTCTTGGCTCTTTCGGTAAAGTCACTTTCTCTGCCCGTTTCGTAGGAGGCGATGAATTTTGGACACGTGGCGTCGCCGCCGGAAGACTTAGAGTAAGGAAACCTCTGACACTCATTATGACTATAATTATTCCGCTATTGATTCTAAAACAGATGCATTATCAAACAGCATAAGGCCAAGGCGTTGAAGGCGACGGGGGCGTGTGGTGCTGGCCACCACCACCGTCCCCTCGTACGCCATGCCGGCCTTAACTTAAATCGGTGCTCACGAACAGCGCTTGCCCCAACGGTCTGTTAAAGGCCACACTGTGGCGGGAACTTTGTCTTTGTGTAAGGGTGCCACGGTGGCGAGATGTTAACTACCTCACCTGATATGCAGGAGCGTCGTGGGTTCGATCCCGACTCTGGCGCCTGTTGTATATTCGGAGTTTGCACATTCTCCCCGTAGTCACGTGGATTTTTCTCCAGGTCCTCCGGTTTTTCCCTCCACAATTAGAATCAGCATAGCGCGTTTGGAGTATTTGGCTGCTGCTATACATTTACACGCAAGGATAAGGCCACTTGGTTGCGCTGTCACTTGTGGCCAGGCCACTTCTGCAAAAGAGCAACGCAGCATCTCAGTGGGGCCTTACCTGGTCAAATAAAAACATGAAACAGGAATGAGGACCGTTATCCCTCGGTTAGCAGTGACATTGGGGAACGGTTTTTCAGTGAACGTTTCGCCTCCCATCGTGGACCCCATGGTTTTGACGAACATTAACATTGTTGACTAATGGGAAGTGTTCACGTTTTATGCACGCGGGCGCCAATTTCGGACAATCCGAGAACTCTAAGTGGGGCTGAGCCGTGCTTTCGTCCATTCAGTGATGCCAATTTATGAGCGTTTTAGACCTTGAATTGCTTCGTTTACATTGCGTTTTCTGGAAACAGCTCTCTTGCAGACTCATGCAATGCCTATATTCGACTAACAGCTTTTTTCGCTGCACAGTAATTTTCGTGGAATGGATTAAAAACGCTAACCGAGGGACTACTGTATATAGGGGCATAGCTGGCTGAGGAGCCATTGCGGAGGATTAAAATCATATAGATCGTTTCCTAAGTGCGAAGTCATCACAGCGGAGCCGTTGCAGTGCAATGCACGAGCAAGTCACAGCGCCGCTGGGTATTCACTACTGCAGCAAGCTCCTGTACCCAGCAAAGCCTCGCCGAGTCTCAAGACTCTTGCAGCAGCAGCAGCAGCAGGAGGGTCACTTGCCCTGTACGTGTGTGGGGGAGCGGCGGTGCTGGAGCGGTTAGCGCGCTGCCTACGAACCCGGCGACCCGAGTTCGATTCCCGCTCACGGCCACCAACACCGGTGATGATGGGTGCGGTGTGTAAAAACATCGCCACTAGGGAGACAAAGGCGGTCGGGCGTGATGCTGGCTACCCACCACCTCGTGTGCCGTGCTAGCCTTCATAGGTGCTCGCTAACCGCACTTGCCCCAACAGTCTGTTAAGGCTATACGGGGGGGGGGGGGGTATCTTTGTTTTTGTGTGCTCGTGTGTTTGGGTTGTATTTGCACGCGCTGTCAATAAGCGAACAAAAGTTTGGCCACGAGGTTTCCTCTGAACTCGTGGTGGTCTTTGGAATCTGCCAGTATTGTTGTTGTTTTTGTTGTCCGGCGTTATACAGGCAGGAATGCGCGTGCGGGTTACGAGCGGATTAAAAAAAAAGAAATCGCTGCCGCCACCAAATTGAAACGCCACTCGGGAAGCTCCTCGGGGGGCCCCCGTGGCGAGGTGCCCGCTGTCGTTGGCACGAATTACCGGCGTCGGTGCGGCCGTACTGGTGCGCGCTGTGGCCGTTGTTGGTTTTAGTGTCTCTGTCACAGTTGTTGGTTTTTGTGTCGCTGTTGTTGGTTTTTGTGTCGCTGTTTCCGTTGTTGGTTTTTGTGTCTCTGTTGTTGGTTTTTGTGTCGCTGTTGTTGGTTTTTGTGTCTCTGTTGTTGGTTTTTGTGTCTCTGTTGTTGGTTTTTGTGTCGCTGTTTCCGTTGTTGGTTTTTGTGTCTCTGTCACCGTTGTTAGTTTTTGTGTCGCTGTTGTTGGTTTTTGTGTCTCTGTTGTTGGTTTTTGTGTCGCTGTTTCCGTTGTTGGTTTTTGTGTCGCTGTTGTTGGTTTTTGTGTCTCTGTTGTTGGTTTTTGTGTCTCTGTCACCGTTGTTGGTTTTTGTGTCGCTGTTGTTGGTTTTTGTGTCTCTGTTGTTGGTTTTTGTGTCTCTGTCACCGTTGTTGGTTTTTGTGTCTCTGTCACCGTTGTTGGTTTTTGTGTCTCTGTTGTTGGTTTTTGTGTCTCTGTCACCGTTGTTGGTTTTTGTGTCTCTGTTGCCGTTGTTGGTTTTTGTGTCTCTGTTGTTGGTTTTTGTGTCTCTGTCGCCGTTGTTGGTTTTTGTGTCTCTGTCATCGTTGTTGGTTTTTGTGTCGCCGTTGTTGGTTTTTGTGTCTCTGTTGCCGTTGTTGGTTTTTGTGTCGCCGTTGTTGGTTTTTGTGTCTCTGTCATCGTTGTTGGTTTTTGTGTCTCTGTTGTTGGTTTTTGTGTCTCTGTCGCCGTTGTTGGTTTTTGTGTCTCTGTCATCGTTGTTGGTTTTTGTGTCTCTGTCACTGTTGTTGGTTTTTGTGTCGCCGTTGTTGGTTTTTGTGTCTCTGTTGCCGTTGTTGGTTTTTGTGTCTCTGTTGTTGGTTTTTGTGTCTCTGTCGCCGTTGTTGGTTTTTGTGTCTCTGTCATCGTTGTTGGTTTTTGTGTCGCCGTTGTTGGTTTTTGTGTCTCTGTTGCCGTTGTTGGTTTTTGTGTCGCCGTTGTTGGTTTTTGTGTCTCTGTCATCGTTGTTGTTTTTTGTGTCTCTGTTGTTGGTTTTTGTGTCTCTGTCGCCGTTGTTGGTTTTTGTGTCTCTGTCACCGTTGTTGGTTTTTGTGTCTCTGTTGTCGTTGTTGGTTTTTGTGTCTCTGTCACCGTTGTTGTTTTTTGTGTGTCTGTCACCGTTGTTGATTTTTGTGTCTCTGTCACTGTTGTTGGTTTTTTGTGTCTCTGTTGCCGTTGTTGTTTTTTGTGTCCCTGTTGCCGTTGTTGGTTTTTGTGTCTCTGTTGTTGGTTTTTGTGTCTCTGTCACCGTTGTTGGTTTTTGTGTCTCCGTTGTTGGTTTTTGTGTCTCTGTCACCGTTGTTGGTTTTTGTGTCTCTGTTGCCGTTGTTGGTTTTTGTGTCTCTGTTGTTGGTTTTTGTGTCTCTGTCACTATTGTTGGTTTTTGTGTCTCTGTTGTTGGTTTTTGTGTCGCTGTTTCCGTTGTTGGTTTTTGTGTCGCTGTTGTTGGTTTTTGTGTCTCTGTTGTTGGTTTTTGTGTCGCTGTTGTTGGTTTTTGTGTCTCTGTCACAGTTGTTGGTTTTTGTGTCTCTGTCGCCGTTGTTGGTTTTTGTGTCTCTGTTGTTGGTTTTTGTGTCTCTGTCACCGTTGTTGGTTTTTGTGTCTCTGTCACCGTTGTTGGTTTTTGTGTCTCTGTTGTTGGTTTTTGTGTCTTTGTCACCGTTGTTGGTTTTTGTGTCTCTGTTGCCGTTGTTGGTTTTTGTGTCGCTGTCTCCGTTGTTGGTTTTTGTGTCTCTGTCACCGTTGTTGGTTTTTGTGTCTGTTGTTGGTTTTTGTGTCTCTGTCACCGTTGTTGGTTTTTGTGTCTCTGTCACCGTTGTTGGTTTTTGTGTCTCTGTCACCGTTGTTGGTTTTTGTGTCTCTGTTGTTGGTTTTTGTGTCTCTGTCACTGTTGTTGTTTTTTGTGTCTCTGTTGTTGGTTTTTGTGTCGCTGTTTCCCTTGTTGGTTTTTGTGTCGCCGTTGTTGGTTTTTGTGTCTCTGTTGTTGGTTTTTGTGTCTGTCACCGTTGTTGGTTTTTGTGTCTCTGTCACCGTTGTTGTTTTTTGTGTCTCTGTCACCGTTGTTGGTTTTTGTGTCTCTCTCACCGTTGTTGGTTTTTGTGTCTCTGTCACCGTTGTTGGTTTTTGTGTCTCTGCTGTTGGTTTTTGTGTCTCTGTCGCCGTTGTTGGTTTTTGTGTCTCTGTCACCGTTGTTGGTTTTTGTGTCTCTGTCGCCGTTGTTGGTTTTTGTGTCTCTGTCACCGTTGTTGGTTTTTGTGTCTCTGTTGTTGTTTTTTGTGTCTCTGTCACCGTTGTTGGTTTTTGTGTCTCTGTCGCCGTTGTCGGTTTTTGTGTCTCTGTCGCCGTTGTTGGTTTTTGTGTCTTTGTTGTTGTTTTTTGTGTCTCTGTCACCGTTGTTGTTTTTTGTGTCTCTGTCACCGTTGTTGGTTTTTGTGTCTCTGTCGCCGTTGTTGGTTTTTGTGTCTCTGTCACCGTTGTTGGTTTTTGTGTCTCTGTCACCGTTGTTGGTTTTTGTGTCTCTGTCGCCGTTGTTGGTTTTTGTGTCTCTGTTGTTGGTTTTTGTGTCTCTGTCACCGTTGTTGGTTTTTGTGTCTCTGTCGCCGTTGTTGGTTTTTGTGTCTCTGTCACCGTTGTTGTTTTTGTGTCTCTGTTGTTGTTTTTTGTGTCTCTGTCACCGTTGTTGGTTTTTGTGTCTCTGTTGTTGGTTTTTGTGTCTCTGTCGCCGTTGTTGGTTTTTGTGTCTCTGTCGCCGTTGTTGGTTTTTGTGTCTCTGTCACCGTTGTTGGTTTTTGTGTCTCTGTCACCGTTGTTGGTTTTTGTGTCTCTGTTGTTGTTTTTTGTGTCTCTGTCACCGTTGTTGGTTTTTGTGTCTCTGTCGCCGTTGTCGGTTTTTGTGTCTCTGTCGCCGTTGTTGGTTTTTGTGTCTTTGTTGTTGTTTTTTGTGTCTCTGTCACCGTTGTTGTTTTTTGTGTCTCTGTCACCGTTGTTGGTTTTTGTGTCTCTGTCGCCGTTGTTGGTTTTTGTGTCTCTGTCACCGTTGTTGGTTTTTGTGTCTCTGTTGTTGGTTTTTGTGTCTCTGTCGCCGTTGTTGGTTTTTGTGTCTCTGTCGCCGTTGTTGGTTTTTGTGTCTCTGTTGCCCTTGTTGGTTTTTGTGTCTCTGTCACCGTTGTTGGTTTTTGTGTCTCTGTCACCGTTGTTGGTTTTTGTGTCTCTGTCACCGTTGTTGGTTTTTGTGTCTCTGTCACCGTTGTTGTTTTTTGTGTCTCTCTCACCGTTGTTGGTTTTTGTGTCTCTGTCACCGTTGTTGGTTTTTGTGTCTCTGCTGTTGGTTTTTGTGTCTCTGTCGCCGTTGTTGGTTTTTGTGTCTCTGTCACCGTTGTTGGTTTTTGTGTCTCTGTCGCCATTGTTGGTTTTTGTGTCTCTGTCACCGTTGTTGGTTTTTGTGTCTCTGTTGTTGGTTTTTGTGTCTCTGTCACCGTTGTTGGTTTTTGTGTCTCTGTCGCCCTTGTTGGTTTTTGTGTCTCTGTCACCGTTGTTGGTTTTTGTGTCGCCGTTGTTGGTTTTTGTGTCGCTGTTGCCGTTGTTGGTTTTTGTGTCTCTGTCACCGTTGTTGGTTTTTGTGTCTCTGTCACCGTTGTTGGTTTTTGTGTCTCTGTTGTTGGTTTTTGTGTCTCTGTTGTTGGTTGTTGTGTCTCTGTCGCCGTTGTTGGTTTTTGTGTCTCTGTCACTGTTGTTGGTTTTTGTGTCTCTGTCACCGTTGTTGGTTTTTGTGTCTCTGTCACCGTTGTTGGTTTTTGTGTCTCTGTTGTTGGTTTTTGTGTCTCTGTTGTTGGTTTTTGTGTCTCTGTTGCCGTTGTTGGTTTTTGTGTCTCTGTTGCCGTTGTTGGTTTTTGTGTCTCTGTCACCGTTGTTGGTTTTTGTGTCTCTGTCACCGTTGTTGGTTTTTGTGTCACCGTTGTTGGTTTTTGTGTCTGTCACCGTTGTTGTTTTTTGTGTCTCTGTCACCGTTGTTGGTTTTTGCGTCTCTGTCACCGTTGTTGGTTTTTTTGTCTCTGTCGCCGTTGTTGGTTTTTGTGTCTCTGTCACCGTTGTTGGTTTTTGTGTCTCTGTCACCGTTGTTGGTTTTTGTGTCTTTGTTGCCGTTGTTGGTTTTTGTGTCTCTGTCACCGTTGTTGGTTTTTGTGTCTCTGTCACCGTTGTTGGTTTTTGTGTCGCCGTTGTTGGTTTTTGTGTCGCTGTTGCCGTTTTTGGTTTTTGTGTCTCTGTCACCGTTGTTGGTTTTTGTGTCGCCGTTGTTGGTTTTTGTGTCTCTGTCACCGTTGTTGGTTTTTGTGTCTCTGTCACCGTTGTTGGTTTTTGTGTCGCTGTGGCCGTTGCCGCAAAATGGATTTCACGCCCGACACGGCGGTCGCGGCCTGCTCGCGGTGATACAGCACCACCGTAAAAAAATATAACGTCCATTTGAATATATCTCTCAATTAAACGTTGGTGTAAAACACGATAGTTGTGGGAATGTAATTGCCTCGTATGCCCCGTCCTTTATTTAGTGACGTTCTGAAAATTATCTTTGCGGTGACGCAAATTGTTTTGCTTTTATCGCCCCAACGAAACTAATTGGAATATTGAGGGGTTTAATTTTTTTTCCCTTTCTTTTTTCCCCTTGCTGGGAAATCTTTTGTGAGCGCCGCCACGTGCGTCTGCACACCAAACGCCGTACGGGGAATTGCCTTGCAATGTACAAATACAAAGATCCCCCATATAGCCTGAAACAGACTTGGGGCAAGTGCTGTTAGCGAGTCCCTGTGAAGGTCGAAAGCGGCACACGAGGGGGTGGGTGGCCAGAACCATGCCCGGCTGCTTTTGTCTCCCCAGTGGCGGCGTTTATACGCCACACCAGGTACTCATTTGAGGCTGAGTCAACCTAGGGGAGGCCCAGGACCGGTTCAGATTATCGTCACTGGTGTTTGGCCGTGAGCGGGAATCGTACTCGGGCCACTGGGTTCATAGCGCAGGGTGCTAACCACTGCGCCACTGCTCCCTACTGACGCACGCACACATGCACACACACACGTTTAAGCGTATCGCAGGCTAACACTTGCACTCGTCATCGTGATAATCCCCTTCCACGGCCTTGATTTCTCCGTTTGACACAGAAGCTCTCTGCACAAGTCGACATCGCAAGACGAGGCAGTGGGTAAGCATCACTGGTGCAGTTCACCGTCGCGTATCCGTCCATGGCGTGTCCGCTCTGACCAACTAACCCGCCCGCGCCCGCGTGCCCGCTACAGTATCGGCCTTCGTTCTCTATAAACGCTCCGTCCCTTTTCACAACGTGCACCCAATGCCGCGGTGCCCTGCGAGTCGGACACACGCCCGTCGTCTCCGTTCGAGGAACGCTTTCCTTGCCGACCGCGTGTTTTGAGCTCTCGGCTCGGCGCATTCTGAACGCGGGGGTCCGGCGGCTGCCTCGATTCGGAAAAGCCCCCAAGGGAGTCTCGCGCCCTCTGACCTCTTGAGGTCACCTCAACCACCTTGGAATTGAATGACGCTCAAATCCATCAATTAAACATTCTGGATTGAAGCAACGCAGTCAATACAAATAAATAAATCGGCCATTCCCTATCTCCCGGTTCACAAAGGCCTCCCCCCGCCCGCCTTTCCCACACATCGTGTCGGTTATGGGGGTGCTTTTGCCGTACTTCACCACGTTGGTCAGCGCGGATTTGGTGCGTATAGCCCTTTCCCATTACGATGGCGTACGTGTACATCATGAGTTGTTTTTCCGATTCGGTTCCGATAACGTACAGAACCGGAAGGAAAACATGAAAATAAAATGACTTCATCGGGAGGGCGTGTGGCACAGTTTGGCGCCAGCTATCGTAGTATGCGGTCGTGTCGCTACGGTTCTCTGCGGTGAGTAACGTCTTTAAAAACAACGGCGCTGCTGCGCCTCTCCAATAAAAATTAACGCTGAGCTGTTCGCGTGCGTTCCGAGATTCAGCGGTGAACGGGACGACCCCGCCACCCTGCAACTTGCAGATGTCTCAGAGCGGGAGAAGGCTCAAGCCAATAGATACCAGCGACCGGTTTCGCCTCCAATGAGACTCTTCCGATCCGACGCTAGTTGACGAGCCCGAGCTGTAGTGATTTACCGCTTGTTGCAGAGGTTCGCGGTTCGAACCCCCGCGGCCGCCCTGTTTAATATTGCCCGGTGCACTCACCTTAAATACTGCACACTGCCCGCTGCTCGATGCGCGTCAAAAGTCCCGTTACATTTGAAAAAGAGTAGGCCGTTGTGTGCCCCTGTCACGGTCCAAATTCGCCAAACTGCCCGTTGTATGTACGTATGCATGTTGAACTTCTCTCGCACCATACGTAGCCAGCCACGCTCATCGGAGGTGGGGGAGAAGATGCATAAACATCGGCCCCCCGAGTGTGGATCCTCCTCAAACAGAGTTGTGAGATGTGGAGAGGCTTTCCAGGGACAATACATTTCATCAGTCAGTTCTCATCAGCAGGGTGCTGTGTGTGTGCTAATCAGAGGTGTGTGTGTTTGTATCGCTGTGTGTTTGTATCGCTGTGTGTGTGTGTCGCTGTGTGTGTTTGTATCGCTGTGTGTATGGGTTTGTGTCGTGTGTATTTGTGTCACTGTGTTTGTGTTGCTCTGTGTGTTTTTATCGCTGTGTGTATGTTTGTGTCGCTCTGTGTGTGTGTTTTTATCGCTGTGTGTGTGTCACTGTGTGTGTTTGTGCGCTGTGTGGGTTTGTGTCGATGTGTGTGTGTGTTTGTCGCTGTGCGTGTGTTTGTGTCGTGTGTGTTTGTATCGCTGTGTGTGTTTGTGTCGCTTTGTGTGTGTGTTTGTGTCATTTGGGTTTGTGTTGCTGTGTGTGTGTTTGTGTCGCTATGTGTGTGTGTTTGTGTCGCTGTGTGTGTGTTTGTGTCGCTGTGTGTATTTGTGTCACTGTGTGTGTGTGTTTGTGTCGATGTGCGTGCAGGAAAATCCGACAGCAAGAAGAAAGGGCGCTCCTTCTGGCAGAGTCTGCAGAGACTACCCAGCCGCACGTCTACCCGGACACCCAACCGGACACCCACGAGGACTACAAGACAGGGCAGCGTCTCTAGCCAAGGTGCCCAGGCCAGACAGGGCAGCGTCTCTAGCCAAGGTGCCCGGACCAGACGGGGCAGCATCTCTAGCCAAGGTGCCCAGGCCAGATAGGGCAGTGTCTCTAGCCAAGGTGCCCAGGCCAGACAGGGCAGTGTCTCTAGCCAAGGTGCCCAGGCCAGACAGGGCAGCGTCTCTAGCCAAGGTGCCCAGGCTAGACAGGGCAGCGTCTTTAGCCAAGGTGCCCAGGCCAGACAGGGCAGCGTCTCTAGCCAAGGTGCCCAGGCCAGACAGGGCAGCATCTCTAGCCAAGGTGCCCAGGCCAGACAGGGCAGCGTCTCTAGCCAAGGTGCCCAGGCCAGACAGGGCAGCGTCTCTAGCCAAGGTGCCCAGGCCAGACAGGGCAGCGTCTCTAGCCAAGGTGCCCAGGCCAGACAGGGCAGTGTCTCTAGCCAAGGTGCCCAGGCCAGACAGGGCAGTGTCTCTAGCCAAGGTGCCCAGGCCAGACAGGCCAGTGTCTCTAGGCAAGACCAAAAGTCGTTTTTCCAAGGAGACCAGAGTTTTAATAAATCCAACAAAAGTCAATTCAAGTGTGCTGGTTACTGCATATGTACTGAATAGTATCTGTCTATTAAGACAAACTGATATATATGCGCAAGTGATTGTTTTAATCTCATAAGTAGTACAGGGTAATTTTCATGACTTCATGAGTCATTGCAATCTGATGCATGCACATTCTATTTTGAAATAAATCCGACATGACGTGAATGCAATCATGTTTTAGCCAATTGAATTGGGCCCATTTGTAGCAGAATCGACAGATTAAACCCGGCCAGTGCTCTACGGATCGTCATCGGCTAGACCAAGGCTAGACCTGAACAAGTCGCTGCCGACGAAGGCAGGAAACACCGCGCTGCTTCCTTCGTACGGCGGCTGATGTTGGTGCAGAGCAACGACTACGATTTCACATTCAGGCGGGTGAAGCCAGACAGCCTCGTCAGGAGCAGCGGAGTGGCGTTCCGTCATCATTGCTGCGATTGTCTCCTAAGTATTTGTGGACCGGGGCATCGCGTCGTACGGCGTCTGTTCTGGATGACCACAGTCGCACCACTACTGCTGGAGAGTTGTTGTACTTTCCATTTGTGCATCATCGGGTAACCGCCACCTGCCACGGTTTGTGCAGTGGACGTGGGTTTTTTTGGTGGGCCCGTGATCTAATGTCACTCCCCTGCGCCGTGCGCGCTTGGCAGGTGCCCCCACGAGCCCGGGCGTGAACTTCGTCGCGAGCGAGATAACGATGAGCGACGAGGATCGCATCGAGCTCATGACGATGGTGAAGGACAGGCGCCTCACCATCGACGAAGCTCTCGCCAAGGTATGTGTGTGTGGATGTTGAACTTCTTTCACACCGTACGTGGACAACCCGTGCTAATTGGAGGTGCGGGGGAGGGACAACAAACCAAACACAAAAAGCAGCTCTAAAGAAATTAGTTGTCACTGTACACGATTTAAAAGTGCATAGCTCCAGTGACTTCCTAATATCGGAAGAGCATTCCAGACGGTCGCAGAAGAGCATCTGAAAGCGCCGCGCGATTCGGTGACCACCGCCTTTGTTCGATGGCCAGCGGCCAAAAGCCGCTGCTGCTGCTGCTGCGAGGGTGAGCGGAGGTCACGTGATGGTGGTTAACGCTGCTTGGCGAGATGAGCGAGGGTGTTGTGGTGGTTCACCTGTGTAGCAAACACTTTGTGTGGATTGTTGGTGCGTCGTCCCCTCTTCTAGAGGTGGCACTACCTGCCTGGAAGGCTCAACGGGCACACATGGTGGTAAGCTTTCAGCCCCTCCCTCCCTTCTTTAGCCCCACCCACTGTTGCATAGCCACGCCCACACGTCCGCTAGCCCGCGCTTCCCACCATCGTGGAGGAGAGGGACCTCTCCTGTTTGTGACGTTGGCCGCGGCGACCCCTCCGCCAAAACCACCGTGGTTGACACTTCGCCCTCACAAAATAATCCCGAGAAGTGTCGGCGTTCGAGCCCAGCGGCGGCCCCTGGTCAACAGTGAGGGCGAAGTGTCAACCCCACACGCCGTCCGTGCACGGTGGGCGCTTCAAGGCCCCTTTGTGCGCCGGCGTCACGGTCCGCATTTGCCACATTTAATGAATTACTCGCAGCTTACCGTTAGGGAGAAAGTCACGTAGCAAAATTAAACCAAAAACACGTCTTTTATTTGAACAGGTAAGGCCCACTGAGCTGCTGTACAGCTCTCTTTCAGAAGCGACCTGGCCACAAATGATAGCACAACGAAGTGGCTTCTCATCATCGCGTGGAAAGGTATCGCAGTCAAATACTCTCAATGCGTGATGTTGATTCTAAACGTGGAGGGGAAAACCCGAGGACCCCGAGAAAAATCCACGCGACCACGGGACGAGAGAGAGAGAGAGGAGAGAGAGAGAGAGACGCAAACTCCAAATATACAGCAGCAGCAGGTGCCATGGTCGGGATCAAACGCACGACCTCCTCCATACCAGCCGAGGGAGATAACATCTCGCCATCTCGCCATCTCGCCCAGCCCCCAGCCCCCCAGCCCCCCTACTGGCAGGCGATTGCCCACTTGTGGGCCGGTGCTGCTTTCACCTTGTGCCGCACAGGGCCAGCTGCTACTGGGGCTCTCCCTTGGCTAGAGGTGCCTCGAGATGCACCGTACGGGCGGCGTGGTATATCCGGCGACGACGACGACGACGGCAGTATGCGTTTGCTCCCTTGTTTGTGATTGTCCCTCGATGCGCGTTGGTTGCCATTGTCCGTTCTCCTGGCCGTGTTCTTTGCTCTGTTCCCCGTGCACGCGTTCCACCCCGGGCTCATCGGGCCCCACCAGCTGGAGGCTTACGAGACGTTCAACCAGCAGTGGAGAAGGGAGTCCTGCCCGTCCCCTCTGCTGGCGCCGCATGCCTGCCACACGTTGCCGCGTCGAGACCGCCACTGCACAGCCGCTCACGTTAGTTCTGCCGCGACACCCGGCCGCACACACTGCACTCAGACTAAACTTGCCGGCCATTTACATTCGACCAGGTAAGCCTCCACTGAGCTGCTTTCTAGCTCTTTTTTCAGAAGCGGCCTGGCCACAAGCGATAGCCCAAACGAGCGGCTTATTGTCACGTGGAAATGTTGATGTCTAAACGTGAAGGGGAGAAACCGGAGGAGCCAGAGGGAAAAATATCCACGCGACCACGGGGAGAGAGAGACACGCAGACCCCAAATATGCGGCAGGCGTCAGGGTCGGGATGGAACCCGCGGCCTCCTGCATATCGGGCGAGGTCGTTAACATCTCGCGACACAAAACCACGCGCAGAGCGGTCGGCCTCAGTGGTGACCGAGCGCTCTCTGTAGGCCGCCGTACAAAGGCCGCGTTGTTTACCCGTGACCTTGTAACAACAGGCCGGCCTGCCTGCCTACATCACCGGCTTCGTAGCGAGAGAAGGCACGGGCCCCGGCTTCAGTGCCATTGACTGTTTGGACACACGTGGACCCACTCGGATTGCCGGGGGCCGATGCAATCACAATGCTCACCTGATTGGTGGGAGAGAGGGCAATTCCTTGCTCGGGGTCGCGCTGCCCTAGGCCTCCACGGGCACCCTCCCCCTTTCCCGCTTGATGACAGAGGGAGGCTATCCATAGGACAACTACCCCCGCCGAGTTGGGACTCATTCTTTTTTTGTGAGGACCCCGGAGAGATGATGAGCTTTGGTGAATCCCCAACCGGGATGTGAACTCGCGGGTTTCCGATTGCGAGCCGCTCGCCCCACCGCCGGGCCAGAGGCGTCCCTCCGTTTTGTAATCGAATGCGTACGGTGGTCGGGTCCACCGCGTTCACTGTGTCCACAAGCCACGGTTGAGTGTCATTGTTGTCGGTCCACCAGTGCCCCCCAGTGGCAATGCCACGTGCAGCAAAAAAAAAATTCACACTCGTCAATTAACACTGCTCGGAGACCCATAGACTCACACGGAGACCCATAGACACACACACAGATCCATAGACTTACACGGAGAGCTATACACTTACACGGAGACCCACAAACTCACACAGAAATCCATAGACTCACTCGGTGACTCACAAACTCATACAGAGACCCATAGACTCACACGGAGGCCCATACACTCACACGGAGACCCACAGACTCACACAGAGACCCACAGACTCACACAGAGACCCACAGACTCACACAGAGACCCACAGACTCACACAGAGACCCACAGACTCACACAGAGACCCACAGACTCACACAGAGAGAGACCCACAGACTCACACAGAGACCCACAGACTCACACAGAGACACATAGACTCACACAGAGACCCACAGACTCACACAGAGACCCACAGACTCACACAGAGACCCACAGACTCACACAGAGACCCACAGACTCACACAGAGACCCACAGACTCACACAGAGACCCACAGACTCACACAGAGACACATAGACTCACACAGAGACCCACCGACTCACACAGAGACCCACAGACTCACACGGAAATCCACAAACTCACACAGAGACTCATCGACTCACACGTAAAAACCCACAAACTCACACAGATACCCACCGACTCACACAGAGACCCACAGACTCACACAGAGACCCACCGACTCACACAGAGACCCACAAACTCACACAGACTCACACAGAGACCCACCGACTCACACAGAGACCCACAGACTCACACAGACTCACACAGAGACCCACAGACTCACACAGAGACCCACAGACTCACACAGAGACCCACAGACTCACACAGAGACCCACAGACTCACACAGAGACCCACAGACTCACACAGAGCCCCACAGACTCACACAGAGCCCCACAGACTCACACAGAGACCCACAGACTCACACAGACACCCACAGACTCACACAGAGACCCACAGACTCACACAGAGACCCACAGACTCACACAGAGACCCACAGACTCACACAGAGACCCACAGACTCACACAGAGACCCACAGACTCACACAGAGACCCACAGACTCACACAGAGACCCACAGACTCACACAGAGAGAGACCCACAGACTCACACAGAGACCCACAGACTCACACAGAGACCCACAGACTCACACAGAGACCCACAGACTCACACAGAGACCCACAGACTCACACAGAGAGAGGCCCACAGACTCACACAGAGACCCACAGACTCACAGAGAGACCCACAGACTCACACAGACTCACACAGAGACCCACAGACTCACACACAGAGACCCACAGACTCACACAGAGACCCACAGACTCACACAGAGACCCACAGACTCACACAGAGACCCACAGACTCACACAGAGACCCACAGACTCACGACTAACACCGAGTGCGAGCGACATCGGAAGCAGTTCCTTCCCCATCCTGTGCCAACCTCAACACACTCCTCAACAACACAGTTGTGTGTCCTCGAAGAGAAAAGAGGATATAACAGGCGATGTTTCAGGGAATGACCCTTTCTTCATAGCACACCGCGTACGGCAAGACACTGCTCGGTCCGATCCACGCGTCGCCGTGGCAGGCGAGGGAGCGTGTGTGCCGTGCACCAATAAACAAAAAACTACAATCGGCCCCAAAAAATTAACGGAGCAGCTCTACTTTTAGGAATCGCTTTGAGAGGCGCGGAGCGTCGCACGGTTATTTAGAGAATGCGTTCAGGTCAAAGACGTCATTTTGACTGTTAAGAACGGTGAGTTGGCTTAGGCAGAAAGCATCGCTTAGGAGCGATGGTGAGCGATGGCGATGAAGAGTAATACGAATTCCGCTTTGTTGGAAGTCAACAGTGGTCATCGCAGAGAGACTGGGCCCCCTGCCTTGAAAATGTGGAATGTCAGCCACTGGGTTGTCACCCTTCCTGGTTTCCTAGGATCATCCTCTTGTTGACGAGGCAGGGTGGAGGGAGGGGGAGGGAGGGGGAGGAAGAAGGGAGGAAGGAGGAGGAGGCAGCTGCTGTCCTGGGAAATCTGTCGTTCTTCCCGAGGACATTCAAAATACATTTTAATCCCGGGGACATTTAAACATTTAAATGGGGTATTTTGTCAGTTGCGCGATGTGGATCATAATACCGCACTCACTCGGGACGACGCATGCACACGCCGTTCTCCTACTATTGTGAGGTGTTCTCCTTTTTCCCACGATGGGGCGCTGCGGTGGCTAGGAGATGTTAACTCCCTCGCCTGGTATGCAGGAGGTCGTGGGTTCGATCCCGACCCTAATGCCTGCTGCTGCTGCTGTATATTTGCCTCTCTCTCTCTCCCCGTGGTTTTGTTGCGCTTTCTTCGGGTCCACCGGTTTTCCCCTCCGCACATTTACAATCGACGTCGCGCCTTCAGAGTATTTGGCTACTGCTGTAAATTCCCACGTGACGACGATGAGCCACTTCGTTGGCAGCTCAGTGGGGCCTTCCCTGGTGAAATATAAATAGTTTATAGTTTAGTTTGACGATACGTCCTGGGGTTTTTCACTACACAGATGCCAAACCGTAGATCCACCCTGGCCGGCGTCACCCCACACTTTCGCAAGACCGGACTTGAATTTTTTTCTATTTTTTCTTCTGTTTAGTTTAATTTAGCAGAAAAAAACAAATTCACAGCGCCATCCACGCTCCCATCTCACCTTTTTGGCTGACTCATGGCGCGTTACGGCTCCCTGATCGTTTGAGGGATTCGCTGTCACCGTTTTTTCTTTCTCTCTCACTGCGCCCGTCCGGATCCATCGCCACCGCCACGAGCGTTTTGTCTGGTGGCCGCAGGCGCCGCGCGTCCAGACAAAGGCTCGCCCCTTAAAAGCGTCGACCAAAGTCGTCGTAATCCCCCTCCCCCACCACCCCCCCCCTTCCCCGTGTTGCAAAATACTGATTTGCCAAGACTGGGTCGTCGGTGCGGCAAAGGCCCTGCATTGACAACCCCGCTGTGCCAACTTTGATTGGATTGGAGGGGCTGATGCCGTGATCGCACGAGCTAAATAAATAAGTAAACACCGCAGTTCCGGAGGCTTTCTTCGATGCGCTCTACGTGCCAACGCAGGCGAGGCTGACGTTGGCAGGGGTCATGTAGCCCCGTATGTCCAGCCACCATCGATATGACTTAAGTGTTACTACCTTCAGTAGAACCACAAGATCTGCTGGATCAATGTGGCGCATCTTGTGTTTTGATTTCGCGCGTGTCTGCGCACACCTATGTACGCACGTGCATGTATGTGTGCGTGTGGGCGTGTATGCGCGTGCGCATGTGCGGCTGTGCCCTGCAGGGCGAGGTGCAGAGTGACTACGAGCCGGACAGCTGCAGTAAGTTCGGTCGGCTGCACAAGCTGGAATCGTCGCGTGCTGCAGAGCGACCTCGTTTTGTCGCGGCGGGAGAAGGTACGACGTTACTCCCCCACCGGCAGACACGTCACCGCACCACGCCACCGGACACGTCACCAGACACGTCACCAGACACGTCACCGCACCACGCCACCGGACACGTCACCGCACCACGCCACCAGACACATCACCGCACCACGTCACCGGACACGTCACCGCACCACGCCACCGGACACGTCACCGCACCACGCCACCAGACACATCACCGCACCACGTCACCGGACACGTCACCGCACCACGCCACCGGACACGTCACCGCACCACTCTACCAGACACGTCACCGCACCACGCCACCGGACACGTCACCGCACCACGCCACCGGACACGTCACCGCACCACTCTACCAGACACGTCACCGCACCACGTCACCAGACACGTCACCGCACCACGCCACCGGACACGTCATCGCACCATGCCACCGGACACGTCACCGCACCACGCCACCGGACACGTCACCGCACCACGCCACCGGACACGTCACACCACTCCACCAGACACGTCACCACACCACGCCACCGGACACGTCACCGCACCACTCCACCAGACACGTCACCGCACCACGCCACCGGACACGTCACCGGACACGTCACCGCACCACGCCAAGTCGCCAAGGAGAACCGTCACGGGCTCACGTTGCCCAGGAGTGCCGTTGCCGCTTTATCGATTTGCGCCACCGGACACCCCAAGGAGAGGCGGCCCCAGGCTTTCCCGTTGCAGAGTCCGCCCTGTGCGGGCAGGAAACCGTCGCGCCGTGGCTGCGTCGAACGGTTGGGGTCACCATCAATGCAGACTTGTGCTCGGCAAAACCGTGGCGGCCGGTGCGACTCCACTCCTCGCGCTACTTGTCCGGCAAAAGCTGATCCGGAAAGCTGGCTTACGCCGGCGGTTTCTCTCTCGAAGCGCCGAGGGTTTCTTGCGTTACTTCGACGTCGGCAGGAGCCAAACACAGGGGGGCTTCGGCGACGACGCCGTCGACTGAACCCGCCGCAGAGCCATTCCCGCGCGCAACTCCCGTCGGCTGCGTCTTCATTCTCTCGCAGGGAACGCTGGTCCGAGTCACCGTCAATCCCAGGTTGCCTCGGGGCTATCGGAAACCCGAGCGCGCGACGCAGCCCGCACCCGTGCCCTCTCTCAACAGAAGGCCCACGAGGTCGCTCGCGCGTCATCACGTCAGCCCCCCCCCCCCCCGGGGCCAGCCTCGGGGTGACACCTGTGGCGGCGCCGCGTGGTGCGCACCTCGCACACCTCTGCGGTGTCTCCCGCGAGCCCGAGACTCTCGCTCTGCTGCGGTCCGCTGATCTTCGGCGAGCCTGGCAGCCGACCCGCTGGCACCGTATCCATGTTTGAACTTCGTTCGCACCGTACACAGCCAACCGTGCTAATTGGAGGTGCGGGGGGAAGGACAACAACACTAAATAAAGAAAGCAGTTCGAATGGAATGAGTTTTCACTCTGGCACCGGGCCCCACAGAGTCTACAAATCTGCCCCTGCCGCTGGCCCTCTCCCCGTCAGGGTAAGCCTGAGGCTGGGGTCCTGCTCCAAGCTCAATGTGAGCTGGCTGGCACTGGCCTGCTCCTCTTCGCCGCAACTCTTTCCCACCGATGGCGATTTTTTGCGCAGCCTCTGGTAGAACGGAGAGACTACGTGCGCTACGTCAAGGCAGTGAAACCACTGGGTTCATGGCAGCCTCCTGCTCGCATGGTTGACGAACTACTAAACTAACGTATTTTTATTTTGCCAGGTGAGGCCCGCTGAGCTATGTAGCTCTTTTTCAGAATCGACCTGGCCGCAAATGGTATCTCAGCGAAGTGGAAATTCACAGCAGCCAAATTCTCTGAACGCGTGATGTTGATTATAAATGTGGAGGGAAAAACCGGAGGACCCGGAGAAAAATACACACGACCATGGGGAGAACTTGAAAACTACAAATATGCAGCAGGCCTGTATACAAGGCGAGGTAGTTAACATCTCGCCACCGTGGCACCCCATCTCGACCGTGGCAAATCACGCTGTGGGCGCCCCCCCCCAACACCTACAAACTACGCCCAAAGTATCACATCGGACACCGTGACGTCGAAGCGTGGGGACCCCCCAAAGCGCGGGGCACGGGGCAGTCGTCCCGATTCGCCATACCCTCAGGGACAGCTCTGCCCACGGTAAACACTCAACTTGTTATCTAGCTTCGCAGCAGCTCAAAACTGAGCCCTGCACTGCCACGAGAACCCAGCTCGTAACGGAGGAGGCTGAGCAGGAAGCCTCGGTGTGGTGGGTGGAGGAGGCTGAGCAGGAAGCCTCGGTGTGGTGGGTGGAGGAGGCTGAGCAGGAAGCCTCGGTGTGGTGGGTGGAGGAGGCTGAGCAGGAAGCCTCGGTTTGGTGGGTGGAGGAGGCTGAGCAGGAAGCCTCGGTGTGGTGGGTGGAGGAGGCTGAGCAGGAAGCCTCGGTGTAGTGGGTGGAGGAGGCTGAGCAGGAAGCCTCGGTGTGGTGGGTGGAGGAGGCTGAGCAGGAAGCCTCGGTGTGGTGGGTGGAGGAGGCTGAGCAGGAAGCCTCGGTGTGGTGGGTGGAGGGGACCGCCCGCCTCATCCCAAGGGGAGTGGCAGCGGCGGTCCCTCCCTCCCCCCTCCTCATGCCCATCACATGCAGGGGAATACCTAAAAAAAGAAACGTTAAATGTTTAAACATGAACAAAGCTACAGTAAAACCTTGGATTGCGAGTAACTTGGTCTGCGAGTGTTTTGCAAGACGAGCAAACATTTTAAATAAATATTAATTTGATAAACGAGCGAGGGTCTAGCAGTACAAGTAGTGTACATATACGCTTTGTCTGCCGAGCGTCACGGAACGAATTATGCTCCTCGCAATCCAAGGTTTTACTGTTTTAGTGAGAATGTCTTCATTTCGTGCTGCCGCAGAGGAACGAGTTCACTAAGTACCGACTCTGAGCTATATAGCTCTTTTTTCCTATGTGGCCTGGCCACAAATTATTGCATATCGAAGTGGCTTATCATGTAGAAATACTCTGAATGCATGTTGATTATAAACGTCTAGAGAAAAACCAGAGGAGCTGAAGAAAAATCCACGCCACCACGGGGAAAACACGCAAATTCCAAATATACAGCAGGCATCAGGGTTGGGATCAAACCCATGGCATCCCGTATACCAGGCGAGGTAGTTAACATCTCGCCAACCGCTGCCCCATTGCTTATTGAGCAGGAAATCTCGTTGACTTTCCAATAAACATTTGCGTTACAACTCGATATGACGTCATTATAATTATTATCGTTTAACCTTTCAGTGCCGTTTTGGGGGTCCAGCGACGGGTCGAGGACCCCCACACGGGCGTCCGAGCAGCCGCCCGAGTACGAGGAGCCCCCCATGGTGATGATGATGATGGCTGCGGCGGTGGCGGGAGGCGAGCCACCTCAGGCCCCTTCCGCCGGCGTCCCGGCCGCCGCTGGGCCCCGGGTCCGCTCGGCTTCGGAAGGCCGGGCGTTCTGCCCGTCGGCCTCCTACGCGTACTCCTACTCGCCGCCGCCGTCCCCGCACACGCGCTCGCTCACCTCGACGCCGGAGGCTCTGCGGGCACGGAGGTACGTGCCGCCCGCCCGCCCGCCCGCCCGCCAACCCCACCTTCATCCCCCACAGAGGAGCGGCGGTAATGGGCTCGCTTGCCCGGTGGAGTGGCCACACGCGTGGCTTGTCAATACCTCGCCTCATGCGGCAGTGGAGTGGAAGCGTTCCGGGCAGAGGGGCTCGCGACGGGAACCCGAATGAGAGAGACGCCTGCCTGCATAGCCCCGTACGGGCGAATTCAAACCGCGTATCTTGAAAATCTTGGGTAGAAATACGTTAGGCCGCGCGCACACCAGGTAACGCAAACGGAACCCGCCGCAGGGCGAGGGGAGGGCCGTTGTTGGCGGATGGCAACAGGTGTCGGGACTCTCCCTGTCCCGTGGGGGGGTCACGGAGGTCGCCCATGGCCTGGCTCGCCAGAAGGCGGTGCAGAAAAAGTGGGGTAGAGTGTTTCCCCATCGCACGTGTGCATTCTTCTCCGGCTGCTCCGGTTTTCCTCCCGCACGGAAACGCCCGTTAATTGGCCGACAAGACCTTGATAAGTAGAGGAGTGCAGAGCCGGGGCAATTGTTTGGCACCGGCTCATAGAAATGGCTGCTGCTGCTGCTGCTGCTGCCTTCTCCCGCTCATCTCCTCCTGGCGCTTTGCAAGTGGACGCCGTTGCCGCCCGACGGAGAGGGCAGAAAGCAGCGCGGGGAAACGCGCGCGCACGCCCGCCCGCCCGCACGCTCGTGATGCACACCGGGAGACGCGAGAGGAAGGCGTGGATTCACAGTGGCCGCACGTTGCCTTTCACGGGGACGGGGGGCAGGGGGGAGAAATCCGCCGGGGTTCTTTCGCGAGCGGTATGTTGCGCTCGTTGTCGAGCGTGCGGCCTGCGGTCACGCCGCTGCCTCTCTGTGGTCGTGACTGCTGCGTGGGGGTTTAGTTCGTTGTCGTTCCACCGCCCACTACCCCCGCACGGTTCTCTACGTGCGGTGCGAAAGAAGTTCAACGTACGGACATACGGGGCGTGGGGGGGTGGGGGGGGGGCGACGCGGGGGTCGTGGCAGGGACATCGCGGAGGAGAAACGTTGAGTGAGTGCGTGGGGCAATGACGGGCGCTGTGACGTGCTAACAGCGAGCCAGACCGGTGCACGAGCCGGAGCCCGTGCCTCAGGCCGCGGTGGCCAGTGAGTGGATTCTGGGGCAGATTAAATGGCAAACGATCCAGTGAATTAAATCGTTGAAGCCATTAAGGGCAAATTCATTGCCTTCGGTGCTCGCCGTGTACGAGTTGTTTGGTAATTATACATAACAGCAATAATGATTGTCAATTATTTATTCACCGTTAAATTATTTTAAGTATCGTTAAATCGGTATCTATTATATATTCGTAATTTGCCCGCTTAATTATTCATTGCTTAATAATTTACTTTTTTTTTTGCAAGACATCCCCCATAACCGGAGAGAACATTCCCCCCCTCCACCCCAGTCATTATCCGGCTTCGAGAGCTTTTACTGCACCGCGTTGTGTGATTCTCGTCTCGTCCTCTCTCACATCAGAAGGCAGTGGCCCGGCCGCACGGGCAGCATCGCGGACGACTACGGCCTCATCAGGCCCCCCATGGGCCCCCGTGCCGGGTGGCGGCACCGCGGCTCCGGCCAGTCGGAGGAGCCGTGCCGCGGTCACGTGGTGAGTGGTCACGTGATGAGCGGTCACGTGATGAGCAGTCACGTGGTGAGCGGTCACGTGTGAGCGGTCACGTGGTGAGCGGTCACGCGGCGAGCGGTCACGAGGTGCGGAGGCGTCTGCCACTGTCGGAGATCCGCGGAGGCCCTTCTCGTGACCGGCCACCGCGTGGTCACGTTGCTGCCTCTTTGTGGCGGTGTCCGCTCTGTGTGTTTTGGTTCGTTGTTCCTTCACCCCCCGGCCATCCCCGTGAGGTTCTCTACGTACGGTACGAAAGAAGTTCAACGTGCGTGCGTGCGTGCGTGCGTGGCGCACCCGCGGGTGCATGCATGGGCACAATTGCACGCGCACGTTTTGCACGGCGCGTGCAGTTGGGGCGTTCACAAGCGCGCGCACGCTTAAGTGTACATCTCTCGACGTGCGTACACGCCGGTCATAGCGCCGCGGGTCAAAGTTGTCCCCCCTGCTGCAAACGAGCGTGGGGCCGGGGGCCGCCGTTCGCCTCCGTTGGCCGGCCACAAGTCAACGGTGGACATTCGGCATTCCCGTGGCAGAGACCAACCTCTCCGTAGAACGCGTCGCGGGATGTGCAGTCACCGTTGCCTACGAAGTGGTTGTTCGTTTGTGGACCCCCCCAAAGGGGTGACAGGTCGAGTCACTTGGACTGGCATTGACCGTGTACATTCCACACACCCCATTCACTTCTCACAAAGTAGTGCTCATTTTTATGATCCCGGAGATAGCCGGGCAGCCTAGGGGCCTGATGCCGCGCCAGAGACACTGAGACTGAGGTCCTGGGCCTGAACCTGGGTTGTACGCATTGATGCAAGCCGGTCTCTCTAGAATGACTGCACAAATATGAAACATCGAGTTAAATTGTCTCTTCATAGGTGCTTGCTACCAGCACTTGCCCGAAGTCTATGACATAATGAGGCTCGTGTGTATCGAAACAGGGGGAGTACGTCGTTAAAATGTGTATTGGTAATGATCAAATGTAGCACTGTCATTATGGATGTCAGCAATTTCCATAGCCCTCACCTCGCAATCAGAAGATGAGGAGTTTTAAGCCCTTGGTATGGGTGGCAATTCAACCTATCATCTCTCTAGGGTGACTAAAACTAGGCAACACTTTGTGGGAAGTCGACAACTGCTGCCCGATGGAGAGACTTGGCAACCACCACGGGTGCCGTGGTGGCGAGATGTTAACTCCCTCGCCTGGTATACAGGAGGGCGTGGATTCAATCCAGACCATGGCGCCTGCTGTATATTTGGAGTCTGCATGCTCTCCCCATCATCGCGTGGATTTCTCTCCGAGTCCTCCGTTTTTTTTTCCCTCCACATTTAGAATCAACGTCACGTCACGCGTTTAGAGTATTTGGCGCGCAATACATTTCCACGTGATGATGAGCCATTTCGTTGAGCTGCCATTTGTGGCCAGGTTGCTTCTGAAAAAAGAGCAACATAGCAGCTCAGTGGGATCTTACCTAAAAAAAATTGTTTATAGTTTAATACTCTTCGAATGTGGAATTTCCTTCACTGTCTCCAATGGAGGTAAATGCTGCCCTTAAATCTGCTCAAGTAGGGAGACTTTGGCTTCCATAATAAATGAAATATCCAGTGTGCTTGGAGTGGTTCCCTTGCAATGTTGAGATGCGAACGCATTTACGCTGTTACCACTGATGCACTTGACTGTGAACCTTCACCCGCCCATAATGCATTGCTTTCATTGTGTTGTTTCTCAAGAGTGGAAAACATTCATACTATCATCATTATTATTATATACAGTATGTATTATATACATTGCATATGAGAATGCGACTGCAGTAATAACTTATCATCTCTCGGTCCTCGTGCCGTGATGCTTTATAGTTGCCGACGATCAATTTAGTTGCTGACCGTAATGTCAAAGCAAAATCCAGGCTTGCGTTTGGAAGAGTTATGCATGGGAGCGTAGCAGTTAGTATAGGGGTTAGTTCACTGTGCTACAAACCCGGCGAACCGAATCAATTCCTGCTCACAGCCAACACCAGTTACGATTATCTGAACCGGTGCCGGGCCTCCCCTAGGTAGACTCAATGAGCAACTGTTGGGGTAAGTAGACATCGCCACTGGGGAGACAAAGGCGGTTGGACACGCTGTTGGCCACACGTCCCCTCGTGTGCCGTGCCGGCCTTCACAAATTCTTGACAACAGAACTTGCCCCACAAGTCTCGTGAGGCTATACGGGGAATCTTTGTCTTAACCTGGTTGAGTATTCATCTATTATCATCATCATCATCATCATAATTACTTGCAGTATTTCTGCCTATCTAAATTGGTGCTTGTCTGGCTACGCTATCTACCTGCCTTTCTATCCTTCTGGCTGCGTAACAAAACAGATAGCAGCAGTCGTACGGTCACTTCATGATTGATTCTAGATTTGTTTTCATGACTGCAAGGATCCATAACTATTTGGTTCTTTCGGTAAAGTCACGTAGGTAAAAAAACATCAAATCACGACGTTTCGGGCGCAGCACAAGTGCCATCAGGTGGAAACAACCCCAGCAATAACAAATTGCTGAAATGGGCAAAACAAATTGTTTATTGCTGGGGTTGTTTCCACCTGATGATGGGCAACGGTGTTGCGCCCGAAACGTCGTGATTTGATTTGATTTTTACTTTATTTTATTTTTTTTACCTACGTGACTTTACCGAAAGATCTAAAGAGTGTACTTCATGATGCCCTACAGAATTGGGCAGAAATTACTTCAGCCACGGCAACGTAGAATTTCCACCGCCCAAGGCTCTCAATGGAGATGAGCATTTTTGGGAGTAAGACACCTTGCCGTTGCCGTGACTCTGCAGGGCTATCTTTTTATTGTTACGATTGAGCAGACTTGGTCAGCACTCGCATAAACCAACCGAAGGCATCTCGACAATGAGAGGGGTTGTGCATTGCACGGGCTATGGCGTGCATTGGAACGCTGCACATTATTACAGAAGCAGTGAACACGGGGGGCGTTCTGGAGTCAGCAGCTGGTGATGATGTGGGAGCAGCAGCAGCAGCAGCAGACACAGGTCACACAGGTCACAGAGCACACAGGTCACACAGGTCACACAGGTCACACAGAGCACACAGGTCACACAGGTCACACAGGTCACACCTGGCACACAGGTCACACAGGTCACACAGGTCACACCTGGCACACAGGTCACACAGGTCACACAGAGCACACAGGTCACACAGGTCACACCTGGCACACAGGTCACACAGGTCACACAGAGCACACAGGTCACACAGGTCACACAGAGCACGCAGGTCACACAGGTCACACAGGTCACACAGCACACAGAGCACACAGGTCACACAGGTCACACAGGTCACACCTGGCACACAGGTCACACAGGTCACACAGGTCACACAGGTCACACAGCACACAGGTCACACAGGTCACACAGGTCACACCTGGCACACAGGTCACACAGGTCACACAGGTCACACCTGGCACACAGGTCACACAGGTCACACAGAGCACACAGGTCACACAGGTCACAGGTCACACAGAGCACACAGGTCACACAGGTCACACAGAGCTCACAAGTCACACAGGTCACACAGAGCACACAGAGCACACCTAGCACACAAGTCACACAGGTCACACAGGTCACAGGTCACACAGGTCACACAGAGCACACAGGTCACAGGTCACACAGAGCACACAGGTCACACAGGTCACACAGGTCACACAGAGCACACAGGTCACAGGTCACACAGAGCACACAGGTCACACAGAGCACACAGGTCACACCTGGCACACAGGTCACACAGGTCACACAGGTCACACAGAGCACACAGGTCACACAGGTCACACAGAGCACACAGGTCACAGGTCACACAGAGCACACAGGTCACACAGAGCACACAGGTCACACAGAGCACACAGGTCACACAGGTCACACAGAGCACACAGGTCACACAGAGCACACAGGTCACACAGCACACAGGTCACACAGGTCACACAGGTCACACAGAGCACACAGGTCACAGGTCACACAGAGCACACAGGTCACACAGAGCACACAGGTCACACCTGGCACACAGGTCACACAGGTCACACAGGTCACACAGAGCACACAGGTCACACAGAGCACACAGGTCACACAGAGCACACAGGTCACACAGAGCACACAGGTCACACAGGTCACACAGAGCACACAGAGCACACAGGTCACAGGTCACACAGAGCACACAGAGCACACAGGTCACACAGAGCACAAAGGTCACAGGTCACACAGGTCACAGAGCACACAGGTCACACAGGTCACACAGCCTCGGAGGCAACACGCAGCTTGGTAATTAAACTGATGAAGTCACACGTCATAAGCCACTTTGTTGAGCTATCATTTGTGGCCTATGTCACTTCTGGAAAATAAGTTAATATCAGAATTAGAAAGGGTTTTATTCGCCATGAAAGTTCGCACAGACAAGGAATTTACTTTGGCAGGAAGGTGCATACATTCAACATATAGGAATCTTAAATCTTAAATAAGTGGTATATAAGTCTAACTATACTAAAGGTACAAAGTCTAACTCACACTAAGGGGCTAAAGTATGTAAAATTTTGAATAAATATTGAATATAAAGTAGCTATAAGATACAATCTAAAAATACAAATAGGATAACAGTGTAAATATGGCAAGGTGTCATTTTGTAGATAAAATGTTAAAGTCAGTGTAAGCCCTTGGCCTTGTTTAAGTGGCCGGCAGCGGATGGGAAGAAACTGTTTTTGTGGTGTGAGGTTTTGGTCCTGATGGACCGCAGCCTTCTGCCGGAGGGGAGTAGCTGGAACAGAGAGTGTCCAGGGTGGGAGGAATCGGCCACAATCTTCCTCGCTCGCCTCATGGTCCTCGTGGTGTGCAGGCCCTCGAGGGTTGGTAGATTGCAGGCAATCACCTTCTCAGCAGTGTGGATGATACGCTGCAGTCTGCTCTTGTCCTTGGCAGTGGCAGCAGTGTACCAGACG